ATAGCTAGAGTCCAAAAAGAGTCTTTATCTTTAGTCTGCGAATTACAAGGTTACCCTATACCTACATTCAGGTAGGGAAATATACAAAAAATTATATTTTCATTTGATTTAAAACAATATTTTTAAATACCAAATGAATTTTATGATATTTTAAACAAAAATACAGATCCAATGGGGAGTAAGCCTCCAGTGATTAGTGATGAGTTTAAGTGGAGGACAATGATCAAAAGAGATAAACAAATGATATCAATGTTTTGCCAAGTGCAGGCTTACCCAATCCCACAATTTAGGTATGATTTAAAATTTAAAGTTTGAAATGTTTGTGTTTAAAATGCCATTAGAACCGATGGGTGTAAAAGCCCCTATGATTGGAGGTGAAGGTAGCATAATTTTACGAAATGCCGCATCAAGTTTTGCAATGCTTTGTCAGGGACAAGGATATCCCATTCCAACATTCAGGTAAATTTAATTGATGAACAAGGGGAACTTATTTTAACAATTTTCAATAGATCCGATTGGTAGTAAAAGTCCTACAGTGGGTGAAGATTTCAATGGAATCATAATAACTAAACGACTTCACCAATCCTTTACCCTTTTTTGTTCTGCACAAGGTTACCCTCTTCCAAAGTGGATGTACGTACCTTCGTTAAATTTTTAATTTTATTATGTATTTTTATTGAATATAAAAAGACAACCTATGGAAAATAATAATATTATCAATTCAAGATTTATATTTATAATTCTATATAGTTCACCTTTGTTTAATTAATTTTTTGTGACAGTTTGGGAAATCAAGATTCCTGATTTCCTGTAATTTCATTATAATACCTGAAAAAACTAATTAGCATAAAACATTATTATGTATAGAAATAAGCAACATAAAAGAAGTATTGAAATATGGATGATGTTATACACAGTTGAGTAGAAACAACATTTTTGTAATTTCACATAGCTTTTCATGATCCAATAAAAAGTATTAGATTTTAAAATGTTCCTACCTAATTTTCAACCAAAACCATCATACATAACTGTTCGGAAATCGTGAGATGTGGTCTGGTGTGATGTAGGTTTCAGAAAAACATTTTCTTTATCGTGCCAACGTTTTGATCTTTATTGAGATCATCTTTAGGGCCTGGGATTTACAAACATTGTTTAAAATTAACAAATACATGTAGGATGTGGAAGTGTGCGTATGCAGAAAACGAACACTTTGAGTGAGTAGAAATACTTTGATTGAATATAAAAAATATTTTTTTGCATTGTTTAAATTCATTTTTTTCCACATCCTACATGTATTTGTTAAATTTAAACAATGTTTGTAAATCCCAGGCCCTGAAGATGATCTCAATAAAGATTGAAACGTGGCACGATAAAGAAAATGATTTTCTGAAACCTACATCACACCAGACCGTATCTTACAATTTCCGAATAGTTAGGTATGATGTTTTTGGTTAAAAATTTGGCAGGAATACATCTCACAATTTCTGAATAATCATCGACTAATGGTTACTAATCACCACATTTCATACATAACTTTAAATGATTTTTAAATTTGTTTTGTGGTAATTCTTTGCCGCATCCTGTACACCCCTTATTAACTTATATTGGAATCCTTTTTAACTAACTACTGCTTCAAAGTGAAGTGCAGAAACGAATACTCAGATATCAGTCCAACACAAGCCAACATCTCAAAAGGGACCATTCCAGGTCCCGTCCTGTATAAAATGTAAAATGAGGCTCACAGATGCAATGGTTACAAATAGCTGTGCGTTAAAATTAAAGAAAATCTAAACAAACTTTTTAAAAATTATGTCTAAATAATATTACACATTTTCAGAATTATACCATTTTCAAAACTAGAAAACTCAATATTAATTTTCTACAGCCCTTTTCCAACATTCAAGCCATTACACAAGAATCCAAAATGTGCTGAAATCCATGCAAATAATTATTGTAGATCCAATTGGAAGTAAAAGCCCAACGGTTGGTGGGGGTGACGATCTTACTGGAATTAGTATAACAAAAAAGAAAGGCCTATCATTTTCCCTTTTTTGTATCGCACAGGGCCATCCTCTGCCAAAATGGACGTATGTAAAAAATTTACTTTTTGCGGGCGAACTAATGTTGTAACAGTGAACATTATACATTTCAAAGATACCCTATACCAATTGTCCAAGGCTTCTTCAAGAATAACAAAAAAGGTATGTGGGTTTAATATTATTTTTTATTCAGAGCCAATGGGAGTAAAGGCACCAACAATTGGAGGTATGGGGTCAATAGTAAAACAAAACTCTGGCATAAGTTTTACACTTCTGTGTCAATCGCAGGGATACCCGATACCCTCTTTCAGGTAAACAGATATTTTTCTTGTAAATAAATCAAATGAGCGAATTATTCAGAGTAAAGTGTATTTCCAATCAAAACTACTTTCACCATCAACACATAAAATTATTCTAATTAAATAAATAAAACAAAAAAAATTGTAGTGTATTCTAACCAGATAACTATATTATTGTATTTCTTTTACACTAAATAAGGTGTTCATTGAACAGGGATATCCTATCTTGATATTTCACAAATTTTAAAATATGAACTTTAAAAAAATTGCTAAATTTTAACTATTGCCCGTTTCAAATCAGAACCTGTAGGAGCCAAATCGCCGACTGTAGGAGCTAAAGGCAGTTTCATGTTTCAAAGGACACACCAAAATTTTGCTTTGTTGTGCCAAGGCCAGGCGTACCCGACACCAATGTTTAGGTAGGATAACGATTACGTTTAGTAAACATTTATCTATCCATTAGATCCTGTCAGGACGAAGGCACCGATATTTTCTTCGGATGACAAAAGTAGAACTATATTCAGGAAGACTTTACAAGATATAGTGCTTATATGTCAGGCCCAGGGGTATCCATCTCCCAATTTCAGGTACAAATTCTTAAAAAGTTTAAATAATAAAGTTTTAAAACTACTCACATAAAAAACCTCTGTCAATTTAAAATAAAATTAAAATAGATTAAATTTAAACATAATTGTTAGACCCAGTTGGAGGGAAAAAGCCAGTTTTTTCTAACGACGATAAAATGAATTCATTCTCTCGAGATTTTGGATCATCTTTAAATTTGGTGTGCCAAGCACAAGGGTACCCACTACCATTGTACAGGTTCGTCTGCTATGCTATACTTTCTTGTATAAAATATAAACAAATGAAAATCAAATAGTGTAAAAAACATCTTCATTGTGGTTGTTACCTTTCCCATATCAGCACCACTTGTTTGCATTGAAAAAATATCTTCGTCTTTTGATTTAATTAGTTACTCAACTTATTTTATTATTAAACATCAAAGTTTAGGGAGTTAATATCAAGTACAGAGGTACCCATTACAACATTGAATTTATTTTTTTAAGAAATCGACCAATGAGAAAATTATTTAACATGCCAAGTTCAAATTAGATATGAGAAGTCTATTAGGTTAATTCATAATGATTTCTAATGGATATGCACATTTTGATGTCTTACTTTTGGTTGGTTTATAACACGAAATTTAAAACCGAATTTTCTTTCTCAGAACCTTTAGGTGCAAGAATACCTAAATTCTCAAGTGATAACAAAAGTGGTTTATTCTTCAGGCCTATAAACTACAATATTGTTTTATTATGTTCAGCTCAAGCATACCCAATTCCAACATATCGGTAAGAAGAATTAGGTTCTAAGAGCATTCTAATCTTCTTATCTTGGCTTAAGAGTTTCCTTCTTACAAAAAATTTTGTCTGAGTTCCACCTGCTCTCTTACAATCCAATGACCTTTTTTATACAACAGTTAAAATGTGAGACTCCAAGGACAAATTGTATTTTTTAGAACCGGTTGGAGTAAAATTGCCTACTTTTTCCTCTGACACTAAAATTTCTTCATATGTTCGTAATATGGGACAAAGTTTTGGCCTCCTGTGTTATGCACAAGGGTACCCAATCCCCAACACAAGGTAATCACCTTGATATGTACTTTTGTTTAATAAAATTATTGTTTTTGTTAACAGAAAATTGATAAGCACATTTCTAGTTTACTTAACTGATTTCATTAAATTTTATCTCAATACTTGGTTGGTTTATTTTTATTCAGAATTCTTATTATGTTCCAAACATATTTGTCAATTTTAATATTTTGAAAAATTTAATGAAATCTTCCAAACTTCTTAAATCTGATCAAATTCAAAATGATTCTTTCAATGCAGAACCAGTTGGGAGAGTTAGTCCTAAATTTTCCCCCACTTCGAAATCAAATACATTCGAATGGAAATTGGGTGGAACTCAGACCCTTTTGTGTGAAAGCCAGGCCTTTCCATTACCATCTTTCAGGTGAACATCAGTTTTGAAATAAATCGAATGTCTATTGGTACACGCTAAACATGGAAATTATCTTCTAGAGTAGTAAGTGTTTCCAATTCATTATTATTATAAGGTCATATACGGATATGTGCAGCTGTAAAGGTAAATATACAATAAAACAGAATTTTTTTTATATTTTGCAAAAAAAATGATCATACATTTCCTGCCAACAAACGTCATTTCTCAAATTTTGTTTAAAAATCAAAAGTTTGTGCTTTGCTTAAAAATAAAAGGTGTGAATGAAAGGTGAACTTTATTTATTCATGCGTATGTTAATTTTGCACATTATGAAAGCCATTTTTTTAAATGTGTGAAAATCAATCATTTTTGAAAATACGTTTTTAATAGTTAGATATTTTTAAACAGTACATAAATGATTATCGTCGGTTTTGTGTCTGTTGGTGTGTATTCATTTATGTCTGTCTACACAAGTGTGACGGTGGTGAAGTATATTTTTAAGCTTTTTTAGAAATTTAATTTTGAAAGTCTTAATTATCGAAAAATGTAATTCTTTAAAAACTGTTGTTCATTGTTAAAAAATAATATATACCGAATTAGTTTGAAATTATTAACAATTGAATTGGTGTGTTTACTAAATTGGGGTTTGGTTACTATTAACTTTGTTCCTCCCTTCATACTGAATACATCTTTCGCCTTTTATTAAAGATTTCCATGGAGGGGGGGGGACACTGATGAGCCTGTAATGAAATTATTATTATTAACCGTGGTCATTTAAAAAATAGATGTATTAGTGTTTTGATTTCATTTATTATTTTAGAGAAAACATAAATCCAAAGAAAAGGACATTGTCAAAGTTTCAACATGTTTTCATGATTGAAAATTTAAATTTTAAAGTAAAGTAGGTACAAGGCTGTTTGCTAAGCGCTGTACTCTATGTGATTTAAGATCATTAAGAAAATAAATATTATTTATCATTTAGAAATTATGTAAATTTATGCTGAAGAAAATGGTTCATAAAATTAAAATTTGTTACATTTGTAAATATATACAATATAATCCTTAGTTAAAAATCTGAGGGATTTTTATCAATGAAAAACTATTTAATTTAATTTAAAACTTATATATTATATATTTACTTCATCCACCATCTCATTTCAGTTTTGAAAAGTTCAACAATACAGAAATGATCTGCTATGCTATGTGGTGGCTTTTAAGATATGTGTTGGAAGCTTTGGTTCATTTGGGTGTTTCAATCTCTTTCAAGTTGATGAAGAATACATGTGCATTGAACAGTTCAAACATCTGATGCATTATTGAAATGACAATGGTTTTGGTTGGGCGATTTTTAAAATCCATATGCGCATGGCAAAACAGAATACAAGAATTTTTAAATAGACTTTTTTTTATAACATGAATTTTTTGGAAAATATTATTTAAATTCAGTGTTTCATTTACAAAATATAACTGCAGTAGATTTTTCTTTCTATTGATAAATTAAATCTGATCATAATAGTTGCAAATTTTTCTGAAATGACACTATTAAAAACCTAAAATTACAGAGACCTTTATCATTTATATAATATGTATATTATATTTAAGTTACTTGATGCTTGAATGATATTTTCCAAGAAATTATGATGTAATTTAATTTAGCTAACCCTTTTCAAAAAGACTACCTTTATCAGTATAAACTTGCTAAATAAATTTAACAAAATTACTGTTTAATATTTTTGATATGATAAAATATTTTTGATTTTAATATAAATAAATACAATTTAAGGCATATAAATAAAAAATTGAATGAAAAAGGTAGCTTTTCAATATTGAATTGTAATATTTTACCCTCTTTAATAACTTCATTTTGTTGTTGCAGGTGGTACAAGTTTGTCGAAGGAACATCAAGAAAACAGGCAGTCGTTATGAGTGACAGGATTAAACAAGTTTCTGGCACTCTTATAATCAGAGAAGCTAAAGTAGAAGATTCTGGAAAATATCTATGCGTAGTGAACAATTCAGTCGGAGGAGAAAGTGTGGAAACCGTTCTTACCGTAACAGGTAAATTAATTTTTTTGTTTTATTTTATTGTAGAATTGTAATAAATATCAATAATTAATCGTTATTTATTCTTTAGCCCCTCTTGTTGCTGGTGTTGAGCCTTCTGTACAGACAGTAGATTTTGGACGGCCAGCCCTCTTGACATGCAACTACGAAGGAAATCCTGTGAAAACTATTTCTTGGCTTAAAGATGGCAAAATACTACAAGGTCACAATGGACCAGTACTTAAGATTGAATCAGTGAGGAAAGAAGACAAGGGAATGTATCAATGTTTTGTTAGAAATGAACAAGAAAGTGCTCAATCAAGTGCGGAATTAAAGTTGGGAAGTAGATGTAAGTTTTGAACAAGTTTGCTTATGTCATAATCTATAAAAATATAAATTTTGTGTATGCAATTTTTTTTCTTATAGTCGAGCCTCCATTGATTACAGAAGGATTTGCAAGTAAAACTCTAGAAGCTGGGCCATCTGTTTATTTTAAATGTGTTGGTAAAGGTAACCCTATACCTGAAATCTCCTGGTATCTAGATGGAAAGAAACTCACAAGTGCAGATAGGTAAGGCTTGAAAATCTGAAATATTATTAATTTGAGCAGTATAAGAATAAATAAAATGTCAATATTCATTCCATAGAATTCAAGTTGGACAACATATTACATCGAACACAAATGTCGTCTCGTACCTGAATATTACAAGTGTCCATACTAACGATGGTGGTCTCTACAAATGTGTAGCTTCTTCAATAGTCGGCACAGTTGAACATGCTGAACGTTTAAATGTTTACGGTCTTCCATTTGTACGCCCTATGGAAAAGAAAGCGATAGTGGCTGGAGAAACTCTAATTGTAACTTGTCCTGTAGCTGGATTTCCAATAGAACAGATTCAGTGGGAGAGAGGTAAAGCTGTGTTACAGCTAGTATTATTTTATTAATTAAGTTTGTTTTATAATCTTTAAGATGGCCGAGTGCTGCCTATTAATAGAAAACAAAAAGTGTTTGCAAATGGGACTCTTATTATTGAAAATGTTGAGCGGTTGTCAGACCAAGCAACTTACACGTGTGTAGCCAAGAATTCTCAAGGTTACAGTTCCCGTGGAACTTTGGAAGTACAAGTCATGGGTAAGTTTGAAATTTATATTTTATTATATAATGTTTTATACAAACAATGTGCTCAGATAAATTTAATAATATCAAGAAAAATCTAGTTCAATGGCAATTTCTGGCCATTACTAGCACTATTATATTCAATTTATTATAAACTTTAATAGAAATAATTTAATAGTTAATAATTCTGACACTTTTTGTTTGATTATTTTAATGGTGATTGTCACATCAAAATAATTTAGATTTAAAGAAGTTATCAATTTTCAATTTTGAATTTTTCTAATAATATTGACAATTGTTTTATTTGAACTGTATGAGCTCATTGTATTAGTTCAATTTGTTTACTATCTTCTGTTTCAGTAGAACATTATTTGAATAAAATATATTTCATTTGGTTATTAATAATTTAAGAATAGGCAAATATTAAAATCAACAAAGCAACATTTATTAATATTGCCCAAAATTTAAAAAAGTACATATTTTGTAAATAAAATTATATTTAAGCAAACCTTGCATCTCCATTTTAGAGTGTTCCAAATACAATTAGAAGTTCTGAATAATGTTCTACGTTGTTATTAATTAATAGAAATTTTACGTTTTAGCTTTTTCATATGATAAATTTGTGTTCTATTTATTAAAAAGTTATAAATGTATTATTTATGTGATTCTTGTTTGTTGTCATTAAATGACAAATGCTAAGTTTTAAAGGTTCGAAAGGAAAGTTAAGTAAAAAGTATATTGAAATAGTGGTAAGTTGTATATTTTAAGATTCTAATAGAAATTGAAAACAATATTCTCATAGTTAAATGTAGTGTTTAAATAATGAAGAACCGAATGAGGTGATGAGACAATATAAATCCGATTTGTTTTATAGTCCCTCCTCTCATTACACCATTTCAATTTGACGGGCCAGCCAATGCGGGTGATAGCGTTCAAATAGCCTGTTATGTATCAAAAGGAGATATCCCTTTACGCATTGAATGGCATTTCCAAGGCGATGGGATGTCATCTCATGCGATGGGAGTTAGAACTGCCATGTTTGGAGAGAAGGCAAACATTTTGGCCATAGATTCAGTCGGACCTGGAAACCGTGGCGAATATACTTGTACAGCTTCTAATTTGGCTGGCGTTGCTAACCACTCAACAATACTTCTTGTAAATGGTGAAATTTGTACAAGCTTCACATATGCTTTATTCTTAGAGATGTTATTTTGTTCTCATAATTTATGAAAACACATTATGCTATTACCTTCCCAACACCTTTACTCTTCAATTGACATAACAAGTATAAAATCTTGTTTTATTCTACATACTAAGCCAGTATCTAAAATTTGTATTTGTTTTTATAGTTCAAAAATCCGCTTTTTATGTTATAAAAAATCCACCCTAATTATTTTAATTCTTTAACTAGTTTTGCCACATATAATTCCATTTTCCTTGGATGAGGATATAAATAATGGAGAAAGTGCCCAGCTGAATTGCCATGTGTCAAAAGGTGACAAACCTCTTAAAATTACATGGAGTTTTCATGGAGAGGAACTTTCTTCTCACTTGGGTATAATTACGACAAAGCTAGGAGACAGGTCTAGCATTCTAACGATTACGTCAGCCATGGCAGCACATACTGGAAATTATACTTGTACTGCCACTAATAATGCCGGTTCGACTAGCTACACGACTTCAATCCTCGTACATGGTATTATTTAGTAAGAATTTGCTGTCTAACCAGTAGCTAACCCGATGGCTTTTGGGGTTTTATCACTATGCACTTTTGTTTTGGTCTTACTATCTTAAAAGAAATCTCTCCCTTTCATTTTTTATTGTTAAACTACAAACTACTAGGCTACAAAGTCGTTCAATTGATGTTGTTAAAACATACTCATTTTTATTGCAGTGGAGCTTCCTTTGTTTTATTTTTAAAATAAAAAATAAATACTTATTTATTTTCATATAGGATTTATTTAAATCCTGTAAGTTCCTTAAACTATTGTTTGTAAATATATTTTTCTTGTTAATTTGTTCAATTAATTGAAAATTGTTTTAATTTCGAGTTCAGTTTTATCTAATTTTTATTTTTACTTTAAATCTCAAAGAGTTTCTTGAAATAATGTTGTTGTTGTTGTTGTTGTTGTTTTTTTCACCTTATTATATTCAAAAAAGTGATGTCAGTTATATAAAAAGGGGTTTTCTCAATTAAAACTGTGTGATACGATAGGCTCTTTTGCATTATAATTAGTATTAATTAGTTTAATTTTTTGACAGTGGCCATCCTAATTTTGTGGAACTCCATAAGAAATAAAATAATTTATTGATAAGAAATAAATTGTCTTTTCCACAATAGGTGTTTATTTTGTCAGACACATTTCGGTCTAATATAGATCATCTTCAGTGATTTAAAAAATAAATAATAAATAAAGTGGATTGATGGTTTGTTACATAGTTGTAAGTTTAAAAGTGGATATCTGGACTATGGACTATGGATGTGGCGAGTAGTCTGTCAAAAATTATTATTTATTAGAATATTAGAATTATTAATTTATTTTCAAACGTCACTGAAGGTAGTCTACATTAGACCAAAATATGACTGATGAAATAAACGCGTATTGTGGAAAAGACAATTTATTTTTACCAATCAACTTAAATTACTTTATCATTATTGATGATAATGAAGCTCAGTTTATTTTCTCAACATAATCACTAGTTATTCTTAGACCACACTCAGAATTCCTGTGAATTAATTGGTTTATACAGTACAGCCATTCATCGTGCCGTTTGATTTCGAAGAAATGAATTATGCTGGGGAAACAGTTCAGATTAATTGTTTTGTCGCCAAAGGAGATTTACCCCTAAAAATAAACTGGAATTTCCACGGAGAGGATTTGTCATCACGTAAAGGGATGTCCACATCTAGAATGGGAAAAAGAACAAAATTTCTTACAATTGAATCATTAACAGCAGCACATTCAGGAAATTACACTTGTACTGCGGAAAATGATGCCGGCATGGTTTCATACACTGCAAAATTGCTTGTTTCTGGTTAGAATGAACATTTGTTTCAGCATGGTCATGTTTGTATCAATCATCTGAAGGCAGTTTCTTCCATTTTGCTAATAGTTATTTAAACAAATAATTTGACTTAGCTTTTCGTCATTATGTTTTACAAACTTTTAGCTTTAAAAGTGCAATCACTAAAAAAATTCATATTCCTTAGTTTACTACAAGTGGTTTATTTAAAGAAGGTCTTTAGGTTAATGTCTATTTCAAATATTTTTCACAGAGTATTTGCTTTGCTGTTATTTCTTCTCTCAATTATCTTTCAATGTTCATAAGAAATTTACAAAAATTAAATTTTTTCTCTAATCAAACTAGGACATTTTGCTTCTAATACATTTTTATGCCATTTAGTTCGCCCATACATCAATCCTTTCTCATTCGAAGAGCATACATATGCTGGGGAAATAGTACAATTGTACTGCTTTGTCTCGAAAGGGGATACACCCTTGAAAATCACTTGGAGTTTTCACGGTGAAGATTTGTCATCTCATATGGGAATGTCAACATCGAGAATAGGGGAGAGGACAAGTCTTCTAAGCATTAATTCAGTAATGGCGGCACATTCAGGAAATTATACTTGTACAGCAGAAAATGCTGCTGGTACCATGGAGTACACATCTACACTTTTTGTCTCTGGTTAGATATCTAAGAACTCAAACTGTGAACAATCTTTAATATTTATTGATGATAAAGAATAGCATGTTTTGTTGAAGAAACGTTGTAAGTAATAATTTGTTTGTAGGATAGTCCCCTTTAATACCCTATGTATATTTTAAATCTGCTCTTTAATTTTATTATTATTACTTTTATTAAGTTATTTGGCTATATATAAGCTATATAGCTTCTTTTTTTCTCTGCTTTGCAATTTGTAGGTATAATTTTGTTGTTTTGTATTAGTTTTACATTTCTCAATTGAATTTTAACAATTTACTTAAGGTTAAAATGAAACTATTTGCCATAAATTAAATATACTACAAATAAAGTCACAGAGGCAATAATGAAAAGGATATTTACACATTTTTTTTTTACATTTTTTCTTGGGTTCTAATAAGAGTGACTTTTGTATCAGTTCTTCCCAAAATCACTCCTTTTGGATTTGGATCACTTCCTTTGGATGATGGAAATTTTGCCAGCCTCCAGTGTATGGTTAGTGTGGGTGATTTGCCGTTGGAAATTAAATGGCTTTACCCAAAGATGTCAACACCCAATCACGGGGTTACACTTACGAAAATTGCTCCTCAAGTCAGCATATTGACGATACCAAGGGTCTCTTCTAAAAATATAGGAAACTACACATGCATTGCAACAAATTCTGCAGGAAGAGATATTTATACAACCAGTCTTTATGTCAATGGTTTGACTTCAAACTAATTTGTGTCTTTTTTTTCTTATAGAACAATATTATTTTTAGAAAGCAATGCTTTGTAGAATTTTCTTGGTGTATCCCATATCCCTTTATGCATATACTTAATAATATCAACCTTTTTATTGACTTTATTTTATTATTATTTTTTTTTTTTATAAATACAATTGACTTTCTTCTACATTGACAGTCAAACCCGTCATCATGCCATTCTCATTCGAAGATATGAATTTCGCTGGGGAATCAGTACAATTAAATTGTTTTATCACCAAGGGAGATTTACCCATAAAAATTAGGTGGAGTTTTCATGGGGAAGAATTATCTTCCCACATGGGCATGTCCACATCAAGGATCGGAGAAAAAACTAGTCTTCTTACCATTGATTCATTAATGGCTGCTCATTCAGGCAACTATACCTGTTCAGCAGAAAATGGTGCTGGAGTATCAACTTACACAGCGACTTTATTTGTTTCTGGTTAGATAATTCATTTGGCACCAGCATGTTTCACGGTTTTTTGTATTTAGTTACAATTATTTCCTTACTTTCCCTTGATTTAAATTTTTTATGCTTTAAAATAACAATGTAATAACTATTGTG